ATCACACTGCTGCAGGAGTGGGAGGCTGGGTGGGTCTGTCCCCCAGCATCCTTCACATTCTTCCCTGTCTCCTATTGCTGCCACTGCCCTCAACACCCAGGCTGCCCCAAGGAGCTTGGTAACCAGGGCTGTCTGCTGTTTAATTGTTGCTGCCCTTCAGTGGCCAGACATAACGTAGAACTGTGTGCTAAAATCTGGGCCCACTGTGGCCTGTCACTATTGAGAGTAATGATCATTCTAGCCATCTAGTTGGTGTCCTGTAGCCTCACACAGTCAACTCCAAGTGCTCCCCAGAAACCTGTGGGTTGGAGACACCATCTTTGCACTAAACAGGCAGAATGTACAGGAAGGCTGTGCACATGGAGCAGTCAGAGCTCTGCCTCTTGCTAGCACCCAGACATCCAGAAGACCCCTGGGAAGAAGCTGAGCATCAGCATCCCCTGATGGGCCCTGAATCACAGGGAGGTTCTCCAGGACCTAAGAATGAGGATGTCTTCATATCCCAATTGAGCTCCACTAGGGTGGCTGTGTGTATGGCCTGCGTCTCCTAGACATAAACCAGCTGAGCATGCTCACACCAACATCTTCCAAGGCTAGACAGTGTGGGCAATCCCTTACTGTGCTGCGTAAGGCAGCTTCTACAAAAGCACTGCCATAGCCCTGGAGGTGCCAGAGGGCTCGTTACCAACCCCTTTGTGGCAGGCATAGTCCACTGAACATCCTGAAAGCAGTTGCATTGACTGGGAGCTGACGCAATGGGGCAAGGAGAAGGATCTTCCCAGACAGGACCTGCTGTTTTGCCCTGAGCCATGGAGGCTGCACTCCCACATGTGGCAGTGGAAGGAAGATGGAAGAGGCCCCCTGTTCTGCTGGCAGCCATCAGCCCCCGCTCTGACATGTTCTGCCTCCTGGCCAACATGTAGTTTCTGTGCCCATGGTTCACCATGCTGAGGACATCACTGCCCAAGTGCTGGTACTTGAAACCCTGGCCTCCCTGGAGCACCTGTCCTTCCATGAAAGGCAAAATTAGTTCAAGTGGCAGGTGTGAGTGCCCCAAGCTGAACGCCCCCTGTCCCATAACCTCATGCATGGTAACCAGTGCCAAAGCACCCTATCGGTGTTTGTGACCTTCAGAAGATGCAGGAGGAGGAAGCCCACAAACTACAGTGGAAGGGAGCCCAGATGCTGGGTGAGGAGCGCACAGCCACAGAGGAGTCCTAGTATCTGTGTGACCCCTGAAGAGATAATTCACAGTCCCAGGCTGCCATGACCTTATGGTAAAATGAGATAAAATACTTCCTGGGGCCATACTTATGTGGACAACAGATTTTTGACAAAGGTAAAAGGCATCATGGTACAGAATGTACAGTTTCGTGGCAAAAGGAATTGGAAAAATCAGAAATGTGAGTTTTGACCCATACATTGACCCATGTGTAAATTAGAATTCAAATTGTTCAGCGACTTCAGTGTGTAAGCTGCAGCTACAGACTTCCTGGAATGAAGTCTACAACATTTATGGGGTATTGGGTTTGGCAGATTTTCCTGGACAAGGCACCCAAGTGCAATCCATAGCCAGAACAAGACAAACGTCCCTGAAACAAGGATGAAAACTCATAGCAAACAGATGCAGATGCCAGTGATCTTAAAAAGGACATAGAGGCAGTGTGCACAGTGCAGAGAGCTTAGATACTTGTGCCAGAACCCCAAGTTTTCATCTAGCCCTGCCAGTCACTGAGTCTGTGACTTTGAGAAAATTTCCTGCTGTCTATAAGCTGTGGTTTCTTGTTTAAATGTGGGTGAAATCAGGGTGGATGTGAAGTGGGTAAGGCTCCTGCATCCAACAGTGGTGTCCTGGGTTTAATTCCCAGCACCAGTCCTGACTCCAGCTTCATGTTGAGGCAGACTCGGTACACAGGGTGAATATGTAAGTAGTGGTTACCTGCTCCCTGGTGGGAAATTTAGATTGTGTTCCAAGTTCCTAAATTCAACCAGGATGTTGCAGGCACTTGGGACGTGAACCTATCAGTGAGATCTATGTCTGTCTGCTCTCTCTTTCTCTCAGATAAACTTAAAAAAAATGGATGAAATGATCACATAAATGTTATAGCTTGTCACAAAGATAAATTAATCCAAAGGATGTAAATCAGTGGCTGGTGCACAGTACTCAACATGTTTGTTTAACTCTGAACAGCCATCAGGAGGAAGTCTTTACCACTGCCACTGAGTGGTGGAAAACTGCCCACCCTTTTTTTATCTCAGGGAAACATTGATTTCTTTGTATCTCATTACTTGTGCTTGATATCCAACCTGTTATGATGTGATTTACTTATTTTAAAATCTTCTATTTCATTTCAATGGAATCTACTGTAAATGTACAAGTCATTGACCTAAAACTTGTTTCTGGATCATTGCTAAGGGAATAATAATAGAAAATGTGTCTTGTGCTGAGAATACCATTTTTAGTATTTGTTATTTGTTGCATTTCCTCTACTGTGACTTAGTCTAAATCTACAGAGATTGACTTGGAAGAGGATAAATGTATTGGCTTCACAAGCTAAAAACAGCATAGAAATTGTTTCACATGCAGTTACATCTAAGGTGTGTGAACTGTATGATTTTCAATAAGCTTTAAATTTTGTTTTAGTTGATTTTGATGAAAAACTTAAGAATGTGGTCTAATCCATTTTCCTCACCCTTTAAAAAAGATGATTAGTGTAACATAATTCCACATTAAGATTATCTTTTTGGATGCAAAATCATATATTGATGTAATGCCTCACATTGAGGGCTAGATTCAAACGTCTTCTAAATGATCCCATTAACAAATGAAACTTGCAAATCTGGGTTATAGGTCTTAGTCTGCACTGTCCTGTTTCAAGCCGAAAACCTGGCCCTCTGCTTGAAGTAGATGGGCAAGTAGACATCAGCAAGCTTAGGAGCCCTTTGCTAAATCCTGGAGGTATTTCAACAAGTTGATGGAAAATGGAATGAAAATTTGATTTGGATTCAAGGATTCAAATACACTCACTATTTTTAATAAGTTTCAAAAACATTCTGAATGCCCTCGTGTGTGTGTGTGTGTGTGTGTGTGTGTGATGTCTGTTATATACACAGTTGTCAACAATGTTTGGATTTCTAATGTAAGCATTAACGAACACTCTTTTCCACTCGGGTGGTTGTAGAGAGGCAAGGGTTTTCTGTGGTGTGGGGAGTGTCACAGTGGGGAGGGGCTGGATAGCAGGAGGAGTGGTGTGTTCTAACATGACTAGGCTGGTGTCTACACTTGTTAAGGGAGTTTGCTTCTGAGAGTAAAACTCTCAGCAGAGAGGCCTGCATTCAAGTTTCTGTGAGACTCCAGATCACCTGAAGTTCTGGAGGTTCCTGAGATTCTTCAAGCATGATTGGTTTGAAGTCTTCTTCATGGGAACCCGTTTGTTGATAAGCAGTAGGGGTTAAGCAGTGAGTGTAGAACTAGAGGGGATGGAGGGCCCTGGTACCTGCACTGCAGGATTGCAAACTGCATCTAGGATGCTCCTGTTCAGGGAAGTTAAGGAAATTTTTGTTGATTGCAACAACAGCATTTCATACACCCACATTCATCCAGCACTGAATTGCTGTATGGGACTGAAGCTCAGGAAGCACTAAAGAGGTTTTTAAGTATGGATTACAGGTGAGCGGATGCTTAGAAAAGCCACCCCCACACATTGTTCCAAGTCTGACTTGAGCTTGCTGTCCACAGCCACTAATGCCGGCACTCTGTCATCAGATCCCTGGTTCCTACTTTGTTCTAAATTTACTGCCTAATATACCCACATGTCCCGTGAGTCAGGCACAGGGCACCGGCTCTGAGAGCAACACCCAGATCACAGAGAGGAGAAGGTAGTTTTGGAGGAGGCAGAGAATACTCGAGACCTCCTTCATAATGATGAAAACAGGGAGCAGGAGGCAGAGGTAGATGAAGAGGAAGATTACAGCAAGGGAGAGGTGGAAGAGAAAGAGGGTGTCCAGGCCAGAGATTGGGCCTGAGTGCAACAATGGAGAGACTCACGGCTGGTGACTGAGAAAGCACAGCCTGCTCCTGTTGGTGGCCAGCAATGCAGCTCTCATTGTCAGCTGACATTTCTCCAAGTGCTGCAGCTTCTGATTCCTTCGGAAGGGCTTTTCCTGGGCCCAGTCCCCATGCTCAGGAAGGGCCAGGCCTGGCAGGGGTGGGTCCAGCTCCAATTTGTGTCCTCTTTCAGGATAGCAGAATGAGGGTCCCTGGGAAAGGTGCCATCTCCAGGCTCAGGTGCACAAATGGGCTCACGATGCTCATGTCTGAAGGCTCAAAACCAGTTCCCATGCAAAGACAGTTGGGGACAGAGATGGTAAAAGGGCACAGGAAGGTCTCGAGATGGTGAGGGAATGATGAGCATCCATGGGCAGTGTTGACATCCTCAGTTACTAGAGCAGAGGGAACAGAAGCGTGAACAGGAGGGAAGACCTGTCCCGCTACCCTGTGTACTCTGTAGCAGGGACTTCCACTCCCTCCATCCTGATCTTCATAAACGAGTGTCACTATAACAACAGCAGCAGCCCAGAGAGCAGTTCCCAGACCTCCTTTATTCAAATAATTATTTCCCCAAAGGAAAGCTTCCCCATGCCACCTATAGCACCCCCTGCACCTGAGAGTCCCTGCCTTACCACCCACACACATCTCACTACCACCCCCAACCTAAGGACTGGGTGCAGCACCTGATGAACGAATGCCTTTGGTGCTTTGTATTACAGGACACAGTGAGTGTACATACATTCTTTTGGCTCCCTGGAGCCTACTTGCCCCTCCTGGCCTCAATGCTGCCTCTTTCTCCTCCTGGAGACCAAGAAGTCACTTCTTCTTTTCTGAGTCTGGGGGTGTCCAACAAACCCCAGAGCCAGGGCCTGCCAGTCAATTGCAATAAGCCCAGGCCCTAAGCAGGTCTTTTTTGCAGGGCCTGGGCCTCCCAGAAAGTCTTGCTTCTTAGACTTCACAGTGGTTGTGGGAGCACAGCTGGGGCCTCTTCATTGGCAGGAGAGAGAATTATGAACTCTCTGGAGCTCCTATGGGCTTAGGAAGGAGAAGGTCTCTGGTCATGATCCAAAAGCGGCAGGTGATACTGGGAATCGAGGTAGTCCAGGCTGGCAGCACCTTGTTGTTGTCACTGGAGATGCCCATTGATGGTCATGAACCTCAGCAGAAGATTCTCTTCTGAATCCCGGGCAGCCTTTGGCCCACTTGGGGCAGGGGATATTTGGCCTTGGGTAGAAGTGGGCCTAGTGGTCCCCAGTGAAAGGCACTCCTATTCCTAGAGAAGAAAGCAGCATCCTTAGGCCTGGAAAGTTGATACTCTAGAACCAAGGATCTGCGCGGTTGCTGGGTCGATGACCTTCGTGTGCAGGTCTCAGAACAGACCCCTCTTTGGGGGACATGTTAATGTCTATCTGTACTTGGCAGGACTATGGATACAGGACTGTGTTGCAGCACAGTTGCATCATGACTGGGGGTTCCCCCCATAGGCCCATTCTCATTAATGGGAAAAACTGTCTATACCACCTGCAGGAATAAAGAGGTACTTACTGACTCTACAGCAGGTGTCAGGGGATCTGGCCTTAGAGAGCAAGGTATTTAGGAGGCAGCACGAAGGCAGAGCCACTGGGCTGTTTCACAGAGGGAAAAGGAGGTTCTGTTGCTCTTGTTCGCTCTAGAACGTTGAACAATCACCTGTTCCATCTCTACCACAAGTGTCTACACCTGCACACCTCAAGAAATATTTTGCCAAAAATATTTGCCCTAGGCAGTGTAGATGTAGACAGTTTCCCTGTGCATACACTAAGGGTTCCTCCTTCCCACAATTTAACACCACAGCATGGCCTGCATCCCACATTCAGCCAGCACACAGTTGCTCTATGGGACTGAGAAGTAGGGAGCACTACAGAGGTTTTTAAGTATGGACTACCGGTGAGCAGATGCATAGAGAAGCCACGTTCACATTGTTCCAAGTCTGACTTGTGGTTGCTCTGCACAGCCACAAATGCACGCACTCTTAGCACCAGATGCCCAGTTCCCACATCCTTCTAAATCGATGGCTTCAGATACTTATGTGTCCCAGGCAAGTCACCTGTACACGCACCAGCAGCGGCTTCCAGGCCATCCTTCCTCAGAACCCTCACCAGACTGCTGCCATGACAGAGAGCAGCAGCCCCGAGAGCATTCTCAATGTAACTTCCTTTATTCAAATAAATAATGCCCCAAAGGCACACCTACCCACCCCACCCAAGAGGTCCCTTGCAGCTGGCTGTCCCACCTTTACCTCACACGCCCCTCCACCCCGCGCCACCAGCCCCCAATCTTAGGAGCAGGTGCAGCACTGGATGAGTGAATGTCTTTGTACTTTGGCTTACAGGACACAGGGAGGGCCCGTACCCTTCAGGCTGCACATATGGGCCGGCTCCCGAGAGCCTGCCTGCCCTTCTGGCCTCCATGCTGCTGCTTCCTCCTCCTGCTGACCAAGGGGCTATGGGTCCCCCTCTGAGCCTGGGCTTGTGCCACAAACCCCAGAGCCAGGGCCTGCCCCTCAGTGGCTCTGTGTCCAGGCCCTGAGCAGGTCTTCTTTTTGGCAGGGCCTGCGCTTCTCCAAAAACCTCGTTTCTTCGACTTGGCCGTGGTGGTGGGAGCACACGTCTGGCCTCTTCCCTGGTAGCGGAGGGACGTGGGCACTCTCTGGAGCTGCTGTGGTCCTAGGCAAGATGGGGCCTCAGCAGGGCTCCGGCCAAGACCCAAAGGCAGCAGGTGACGCTGGGAATCGAGGAAGAAGTCCAGGCTGGGCAGCTCCTCCTCATTTTCAGTGGCCATGCCCACTGCTGGTCTGGTGCCCTCAGTAGAGGATTCGACTGTGAATCCCCAAGCAGCCTTTGGCCCTCTTGGGGCAGGCTTGTTTCTTCCTGCGATAGAAGTGGGCCCAGTGGGCCCTAGCGAAAGGCACTCCTGAAGCCCCGAGAAGGAAGCAGCAGTGGTAGGTCTGGAGAGGGGCTTGGGTGGGACCACGTGTCTCCGCGGTTCCTGAGACGATGCCCTTTGTTGGCAGGTCTCAGAACTGACCCATCTTTGTGGGCCTTGGTCGTGTCTGTCTGCACCTGGGCAGGCTGTGGCTTCAGGCCTGGGGTGCCGTACAGGTGCAGCCTGATTGGGGGTTAGCCCCGCAGCCCCATTCCCAGTCACAGGCCAAAACGTCTTCTCCACCACCTACAGGAGGAAAAAGGCACTGAGTGAGTGACTCTACGGCAGGTGCCAGGGCATTGGCGGGTGCAGCGCAGGGCGTTCAGGAGGCAGCAGGAAGGGCAGAGTCCCTGGGCTGGATTCACAGGGGGAAAGTGGGCTGTGCTGCCCTTGCTCACCCTAGAGCTCCGCACCCTCACCTGTCCCTGTGCCCAACTCACGTGTCTGCCCCTGCAGCCTACCTGACTCAATTCCCAGAAAAGACACATCCCAGGGAGGGTAGCTGTAGACAGTTTCCCTGTGCCTGCACTAAGGGGCCCCTCCTTCCCACAATCTGCCTATTTGTAGCTCGATCGCTTAGATACCTGCTGTCCCACTTTGCCCAGACGGATCTGCTGGGCCTGCTCCCATGGTTGACCTGCTGCCCCACGTGCCGCGCCTCCCTGCTGTCCCTGCACTCCTGCCTTACTCGCTCGACTTCCCTCCCTCCTTCACCTGGCCAGAGGTCAGCCCTTCCTCCTGCTCCAGCTCCATCGACAGGGCCACGAGATCCAGCTGTGGATCTGGGGAAAGCAGTGCTTCTAGGAATTGGGGCTGAATGATGGCCTCCACCTGAAAAGCAAGAAAGAGATCTCTGCTGCCCAGGAAGCATCTGAAAACCAAGGGGATGCAAGGAGAAGCAGAAAGCAGTGCACCCCCTTTCAACATCCACGTTTGGTACTATAGATGATAGGAAAACCAGCTGGACACCCAAAAATTCGCGACACACACACACACACACACAGACGGACGTCAGGAGCTGAGTCACCTGAGTGCGTTCAGAGGGCGAGTCATGGTCATCCCCAAGGACGTACAAACCTCAGAATTTCACAGCCCACCAAGCAATGAAGTCCTCCTGAGAGATGAGCTTCTCCACGTAGTTCAGCAGTTCTGGGTCTCGAGAGTTCCCCTCCTCCCTAGGACTCCAGAAGCTGTCCTCTTCGGTGGGTGGATCAGGCCACATGGGTGTATCCTTGATGTCCACGTCCTCCATCACAGTCTCAGTGGGCATCCCCTTGGGCAAGGTGCCCTGAGGCTGCCAGTGTCTGTGGCAGGGGACAGGCAGCCAGGGCCTTGGAGATGGCATTCCTGGGGCCACACCCTGTGGATGCAGTATACAGTGTGAGGTCAGGGCTTTGGGCCTTGCACGGCCCCCATTGGGAAGGTCAGTTGTTGGAGACACAAGCTATCAGGCGGGAGCAGTGCGCCCTGACCCTGCCGCCATGAGAGGACATGGGAGCTGCAGAACCCCTAGACAGCCACCAACGCTCTGTGTTCTCTTGCTCATGCCTCAGGCCGTGGGAAGACTGTGTTGGGTGCTTGGAGAGGTGAGGGGTGAGTGGCAGTACAAATGACCACATAGATATCCAGATCGTGGGCAAAGCATTAGGGACCCTGGGCTCTTTGTGGTGCGTTCTGCAGGGAAGGGCAAACGTTGCTCTCGAGAGAATCTTCCCACGGGGGTGGGGATGGAATCGTTTGGTCCCCGTTGCCTTTGTCATGGGTTGTGGAGTGGAGTGGGAAGCTTTACCTGGCTGCTGGACCGCCACTGTGGCTGGGGGCCGTGGTGGAACCAGCGGCAGTGGGCCTGGGGGAAGCTTGCCCAGTCTGCCCTGTATCCATGGCAGCTTCTGAGTCTGCATCTCCGCTTCCTCACACTCCATGAATCTGGGAAAGAAGGGACACAACCTACTTAGGAGGGTCTGAGGCGCTGACCCCACCAGCCAGCAAATGATGGCAGAGACGTGTGAACCTTGGGCTTTGCCAGCAGGACAAACGATCTGGGAACATCTCACTCCCCCTGTACTCAAAGGGCCTGTGAGGTGGGCTCCCTGCACCATTGCAGGTCCGAGTGACCAAGGTGGTTCCCTGCAGCCTTGCCATTCCCTATGCAGATGCCCATCCGGTGTGGTGCCAGAAGCTGGTCAGCACATGATTCCTGCCAGAGGACTCCGAGACACAGTCCAGGTTCAGGGACTAGGCTGGTCGTGAGTTTTTGCATAAAGACCAGGGATGAGGTTCAGGGAGAACCCGGAGTGTGGGTAAGCCTAGCTGAGAGGGATGTCCTCTGAGAGCTGAGTGTGTGTTCATGGTATATTGGATGGGATGCCTGAGAGACAGAGTGGGGGCCCCGCGGTGAGACTGCAGTTCCCTGGGACCGAGCTCCATTCTGTAGAATGCTCTGCAATGGCATTTGAGAACACTTTGCTCAATATCTGCCAGCTCCAGGGCATGAGGCAGAAGGAACATGGCCAGGGGACCTTGTCACATGGACACAGTTCCGGGGGTCAGAGGACACACAATGGACACTGCTGGGGGTTGCACTTTGAACTTCAACACAAAGATAGTATTAGTTGCCGGTACAGGTGAGGCCGGAGATCGTGGGGGGATATGCAGGGAACCCAGACATGCAGGCAGTCGCGGGACCTTCCTGGAAGGGCAGAGACAGAACTGGCCTCCTGTAAGTGTGTGTGTGCTGACAAGTGCAGCCCATCAGGCCAGTGAACTGTGCAGGGTGTGCAGCCTCGAAGTCGAATATCAAAGTTGTGTGAGCAGCCAGCTACATGGGGGAGGAACTTGTGTGGATGGGACACAGAGAACTCAGTATCTGGCTGGTGGTTGGAACTTCCTGGGGAGAGCAGGGCCCAGGCAGGGGTTGTATTGGAACAGGTGTCCTCTTAGTGTCTCTGTTGACAGGTCCAACGTGTCAGGCCTAGCCCTGTCCCACCCTCCCCCAACTCGCAGGTCCATGCTCACGGCCCCCGACTCACTTTTCTGCCATCTCATAGAAGATCGCGCGGTCAGAGTTGCTCTTGTGCTGCCATTCCCGCATGGCAAACCGCAGGCCCTCCTCCAACAGCATGGTGGGCCTCCTCTGGGCCAGAGTCCGCAGCACTGGGCTGTAATTCAGCAGGATGAGTCCCAGTGCGCCAGCCCTCCCTGCCTGCTGCGCTGAGGGTGGACAGCTCTGCTCTGCTCCAGACTGTCCTCCCCTCTGTCCCTGTCATGTCCTTCTCTGGTGCGGGATCCCCAGGATTCCCACCCACACCTGGGCCTCAGCACCACGGGCTGCATGGTCTGCTCCGGCCTGCCCTTGAGGCCTCAGTTTCATTCGTGCCTTAGTGATGGAATGCTTGCATCACCCAGAATACTTCTTTGGAAACGCTCATTTGGAAGGCAATGTTGAGTTGGATTGGCTGCGATTGGATCATGTGACGTGATGTGCGTACACTCCACAACTGCCCTTTTTATCGTGCAGAGAGAGGCACATCACAGCTCTGTGTGTCTAGACATCAGGACCCTCGGAGATGGAGTCACATGGCAGGCACGTCAGTGACTGGGCTCTCAATCCTGCTGTGCCTTGTGCTCAGATTTCCAGACTCAGATGCGAGACATGGACATCCCTGGCTAACTGTCAGCTGGGGTGAGGTACTGTGCAGGGCCGCCCAAGGTTACTGAGACACTGCACAGAATGATTGGGCCTGGGGCTAAGACTCAAGTCCTGGGCCCTCGTGCTGAGCATGGAGTCAGGGTGTAGGGGCAAGGTCACCACCTCGGGTTTCTGAGACTTCCTAGCACACCAGATGCTGGGACTCACAGGTGGCCTGGGGCCCTGCAGATTTTCTCCCCTCCCTGGTTACTCCAGGGACAGACCCAGCACCCAGGGTTCAGGGAAACGGGGAGACCCCGGGTGGTGGAGTGGACGGATGGCAATTGTGTTCCTAAGAGGATGCTGACAGGGGGCTGGAGATGATAGTGTCCCCAAACATGGATCCCTTTCATTCGCAAGCACTGTAGGGCCACAGGCATGGGGTGGCAGGAACACCTTCCCCGTGTCACGAAACGTGGGCTGTGTCTCAGTGGTGCACGCTGAGTATACCCGTAGTCCTGCCTGGGGAAGAGAGGTGACTGTGGGAGTGAGGAAGGTCTCTCTGTCACCTGCACAGCACCCCGCGGGCTTGCGTCTAAGGCTGAGGATCCACTGAGACCCTGTGCACATGACATTCGCTTTGTCTCTCTCCCTCTTCTCCGAGGCCTACTCCTCACGATGATTGCAGGAGCTATTTTTCTCATTTTATCAGGCAGAGCACATCCCCTGGCATCTGCTGTGTACATGAGCTTAAACCTGTGGATGCTCTCTGCTGTGCCCTGGGGTGGGGGGAACTTCATCCCCTGTTGCATGAGGGCCCTGAGATGGGTGTGTGGGTGACTAACCAGGACGGCCACAAGGGATGCGGCCCCAGCACAAACTTGTGTGTCCCCGACCACCTTGCTGTCCTTCTGCACATCCACAGAAGAGTGAGGGCGGGCTGGGAAAAAGTCTTCCTGGGTACTTGCCCTTCTTACCACCCAGCTCCTGAAATCTATGAGCTGTGACCTGTGTGTGTGTGTGTGTGTGTGTGTGTGCACGCCGTGGGCAAGGGTTGCCTTGGGGACAGATGCACACTTCCTAAGCTTGGCTTTCCTGATCCCATGGTCCTCCCTGAGCTTAAGTGTTCTGGAAATGGGATCATGGAGGTTCTGGAAGGGTTACCACTCAGAGGAGGGGGCAGATCCAGTGAGCGAAGCCCCTGAAACTGGCAGGCTTACACCAGACAAACCCTGCTGGGAACCAAGCTTCTCACAGCCTTCTCCTTGCCTCAAGAGCTTCCCTCCAGAACCCTAGGCAGCCTGAGCTTACCAGCCCATGGCCCTCCCAGAGCAGAGCACTCACATGAGGAAGCAGGACAGAGCTTCAGCATCAGGGCTTTGTGGACAGTGCCTCTGCGCCAGGGCCTTGTAATGCTGCCAGCGCCGGAAGTGCATATAGACGCTTAGGGGTTGCAGGAGGCATTGCGTGAGGCCTTGGCCTGGGAGGCGGCGGTGCCACACTGCAGGTCCCCGCCATGAGACTCTGGTCCAGGGTTTACTGGAAACAGCATCACGGGGGCAGGCTGGGTGGCTGGTGGAGGAGGAACTGCAGGATGGAGGTCTGGGCAGCAGCCCCCTGGCCAGCCAGCGTGTGCACAGTGGTTGGCCCAGGCACCAGCTTCTGCACAGAAGAGCCTGGCAGAAGCAGGGCTAGGATGCTGTGTTGCCTCACAGAGACCCCCCATGGCACTCCAGTTGAGAGGGGCCTGGTCGAAGACCACAGGCTCACTGACGTTCCCAGGCTCACATGGCCAGAGGCACCATCTCCTGCCACAATGGGCATCCTTGGCAAAGCAGCAGGTAGCACGAGCTGGCTGCCTGGTGGGAACACTGCATTCAGGAGGCATGGGGGTGGCTGCCCCCAGGGCGTCTGGGTTGCTGGGCCGAGAGTGATGTGGGGACACGGTGGCAGTATCAGGGGAAACGTGGAGGTGTCAGGATTCAGTCAGGCCGAGTGCCAGCACTGGAGATGCTGTGGAGACAAAAGAAAGGGGTGACTGGAGTAGGGCCCCTGCCCTCCAGAGGGAGACTCTCCTGTTCTCCAGAGCAGATTGTTGCGATACAATACCACAGTCTCTACAGTTGAGACCCATGGGAATGGAGGAATGGTGCCGTCTGCACATAGTGCCAACTGCATCTCAGGCTCTGCTCCCACATTTGCCAAGGATCCACCAGACCCTGTCCTTCCACTTCACCGGGACCCAGAAACACCACGTTCCCAGCAAGGAACACTCGGCTTTCACTTCCACGCACAATCTCCCAGGGCATTTCTGCAGAAATGAGCAGGGCAGCAGGTAGGACAACGCTGTCAGGAACTCAGCCCTGTGGAGGACCCACATAAACCCAGGTGCAGGAAAGCAGTACACGTAGCACATATGCCTAATGATTTGAACTCTTGTGGTCACATTCAACAGTACCTTCTTAGTTGTACTATACTTTTTGCACTGTATTTTTTTTCTTTGATAGGTGTAGAGTTACAGACAGTGAGAGGGAGAGCTAGCATGATCTTCCACCCTCTGATCAATCCCCAAATGTCTACAGAAGGCTGAGCTGGTCAGAACCAAAGCCAGGGGCCAGGAGCTTCTTGCAGATCTCCCCCCGTGGGTGCAGGGGCCCTAGCACTTGGCCCATCTTCTACTGCTTTCCCAGTCCATGGCAGAGATCTGGATTGGAAGTAGACAGCGGGGACAAGAACCAGCACCCAGATGGGATGCAGAGGGTTAACCTACTGTGCCACAGCACCGGCCCTACTGTTTGCATTGTTGACAAGAAAACTGGGGAGTGGCGTTATGGCACAGCAGGTAATCTTCCACGTGGAATGCCCACATCCCATAGCAGAGTGCTGCTTTCCATTCGAATGTGTGCTTCTAAGGCAGCTTCCTGCTCATGTATTTTGGAGGCAGCACATGAAGGAACAGGTACTTGCATTCCTGCCATGCACTTGGGAGCCCCTTTGGAGGTTCTCAGGGTCTGATTTTGACAAGACCCAGCCCTGGGTATTTTCTTCACTGGTCAGGTGAGCATGGAAATGGAAATGCTGTCCCTCTCTCTCTCTCTGTCCATCTAGCCCCCATCTCTATATCTGTCTCTATCTGTCCTCTCTTTTTGTCACTCTACCATAAAACAAATACAGCAAATCTTAACAGAAGAAATGAAAAAAAAAAATCCTCTCATGGAAACTCCCTTTGTTTTTTCTTTTCTTTTTTTTTTAACTTTTATTTAATGAATATAATTTCCAAAGTACAGCTTATGGATTACAATGGCTCCCCTCCGATAACTTCCCTCCCACCCGCAACCCTCCCCTTTCCCTCTCCCTCCCCCCTTCCATTTGTGGGGAGCAATCCGGACTGGACTAAGTTACTGGAATTAAGACTTATTCTATGCATCTGCTCTCCCACAATATGGCGCTGGGAGAGAAGTAAACAGCTTCCGCACAGCTGCCTCCAGTTCAACCAATTAACTGTAGGACTTGCTCCTGATTGGAGAGCAGCGTACTCGGCGTGTGGGCAGCCGAGTTAGGATTGGCGGAGGAGGACTATAAAGGAGGAGAGAGACGGCATGCACCGGGAACATCTATGGGGAACATCTAAGGGAACCCGTGCAGCCCCCGAGAAGAGCCGGCCGGCGGTGTGCCGCTCCCCTGCGGAAGTGGGGAATGCGGCCAGGGGGAACTGCCCTTCCACGGAGGTGGAAGGGATAGTAGCCAACCCGGGAAGAACCAGCAGCAAACCCGGGGAGGGCCGAGCAGACAAGAGAACAGCGCAGGGTCCTGTGTCGTTCCTCCACGAAGAGGGGGAGCGACATAATGGTGCCGTGACTCGGATATGAAGCCTAGGCAGGGTTCTGTGTTGCTCCTCCACGAAGACGGGGAGCGACATAATGGTGCCGTGACTCGGATATGAAGCCTAGGCAGGGTTTAGTGTCGTTCCTCCACAAAGAGGGGGAGCGACATAATGGTGCCGTGACTCGGATATGAAGCCTAGGCAGGGTTCTGTGTTGCTCCTCCACGAAGACGGGGAGCGACATAATGGTGCCGTGACTCGGATAGGAAACCTAGGACGGATAGGAAACTTAGGAGGGAAGAAATGACTCGGATAGGAAACCTAGGACGGATAGGAAACTTAGGAGGGAAGAAACAGGAAGAAGCAGGAAAATGCCGGAGAGAGAGACTAGCAAAGAGCCTAGGTGCCGGAAGAAGCTATTGAAAGCCTAGGCATAGACTCGGATATGGACTGTGGGAAAGAAGTTAGGATTGAAAGCGAAAGTGAAAGCTTTCATAGACTCGGATGCGGACTATGGCGGGGAAGCTAGGAGACTGAAAGCGAAAGTGAAACCTATAAGAAACTTAGACTTGGATACGGACTGTGGGGAGAGGCCAGGAGAAATGAGGGAGGAATATTGTTGGAAGAAAACTTAGGGAAACACACCGGGTAGAGAAAAATGTTAGGGAGGATGAAGCCGCGAGTGCAGGCCAAGCCATCTTGGAATTCTTCAAGTCACCCTGGGGAGCAAGAGGCGAAGATCTGGAACCAGAGGCAGAGACGTGGGCCGCCAGGATTCGCCAGGTTAGTCCGGGGAACTTGGACTGAATGCCGGTGGTGGCGGAAACATTCGCGGAAGCCGCCGCGTGCAGAGAGAGCACGGGGCATTGGCGCGAGGCCGTGGTGCGGGCGCGAAGTGCGTGGAGACCGCGGAGCGTGCGCGCAGAGCCTGGAACCCGCCGGCGGGGCGAGGCGCCGGGAAGCCGCGCAGAGCTGTGAAGCCGCCGCGGGGCGGGCGCCGGCGGGGCGAGGCGCCGGGAAGCCGCGCAGAGCCGTGAAGCTGCCGCGGGGCGAGGTGTCGAGAAGCAGCCTCGGGGCGAGCGCCGCCGGGAAACCGCGGGGATAAGAGAAGCCGCGGGAAGTTTAGAAGTAAAATGAGAGAAATAGGAATGCTGGAAGATAGAAGTAAAATGGGAGAAATAGGAATGCCCGGAGATAGAGAAATAGAGAAATAGAAAGGCCTCCCTACAACACTGCACTGTGAGAGCTTGGATTCGGTCTGCCTGATTAAGTGAGGCGATGAGCACGATGAGCACCTGCGGCGGCTAGCAGCTTATGCGCCGCAGGTCACCGAAGACAGGCACGAATTAACATCAGTAAGGCTTCCCCACAATGCAACAATTAGGAGGCTTGGATTCGGTCTGCCTGATTTAAGGCGGTAAGCACCAGCAAGCAGCTCGACCAAAGCATGAGCTGCAGGTCACCGAAGATAGGCACAAACCAACACTAATAAGTCTCCCCCACAATACGGCAATGAGAAGGCTTGGATTCGGTTTGCCTGATAGGTTTTGTAAGCACCTGCAGGCAGTTCTAGCAGAGCAGAGCATGCGCTGCAGGGCACCGAACACAGGCACGCATCAGCGCCTAAAAACCTCCTCACAACATGGCGAAGAGAGGACCCGGATTCGGTTTGCCTGATGGATAGGACTTGTAAGAGCCTGTGGCAACTCTAGCAAGTAGAGCAGAGTGTGTGCCGCGGGACACCGAAGACAGGCGCGTATCAACGCCAAAAATAAAAAGAAAGGGGGATCTGTGGGGAGCAATCCGGACTGGACTAAGTTACTGGAATTAAGACTTATTCTATGCATCTGCTCTCCCACAATATGGCGCTGGGAGAGAAGTAAACAGCTTCCGCACAGCTGCCTCCAGTTCAACCAATTAACTGTAGGACTTGCTCCTGATTGGAGAGCAGCGTACTTGGCGTGTGGGCAGCCGAGTTAGGATTGGCGGAGGAGGACTATAAAGGAGGAGAGAGACGGCATGCACCGGGAACATCTATGGGGAACATCTAAGGGAACCCGTGCAGCCCCCGAGAAGAGCCGGCCGGCGGTGTGCCGCTCCCCTGCGGAAGTGGGGAATGCGGCCAGGGGGAACTGCCCTTCCACGGAGGTGGAAGGGATAGTAGCCAACCCGGGAAGAACCAGCAGCAAACCCGGGGAGGGCCGAGCAGACAAGAGAACAGCGCAGGGTCCTGTGTCGTTCCTCCACGAAGAGGGGGAGCGACACCATTCACATCAAGATTCCTTTTCAATTCTCTTTCTATACAGAAGATCAGTTTAGAATATATTAAGTAAAGATTTCAACAGTTTGCACCCACATAGAAACACAAAGTGAAAAATACTGTTTGAGTACTAGTTATAGTATTAAATCTCAATGTACAGCACATTAAGGACAGAGATCCTACATGAGGAGTAAGTGCACAGTGACTCCTGTTGTTGACTTAACAAATTGACACTCTTGTTTATGGCATTAGTAACCACCCTAGGCTCTTGTCATGAGTCGCCAAGGCTATGGAAGCCTTTTGAGTTCACCAACTCTGATCATATTTAGACAAGGTCGTAGTCAAAGTCAAAGTTTTCTCCTCCCTTCAGAGAAAGGTACCTCCTTCTTTGATGACCTGTTCTTTTCACTGGGATCTCACTCGCGGAGATCTTTCATGTAGGGTTTGGTTGTTTTGGTTTGGTTTGGTTTGGTTTTTTTTTGGCAGAATGTTTTGGCTTTCCATGTCTGTAATACTCTCATGGGCTTTCAGCCGGATCCGCATGCTTTAAGGGGTGATTCTGAGGCCAGAGTGCTGGGAAACTCCCTATGAATATCAACCACACTACACAGCTGTGCCTTCCATCAGCCACACTACACAGATGGGCGTACCTGAGTAGGTAGTCAACTGAGCACCGTATTGGGTTTTTTTTGGTTTTTGTTTGTTTGCTTGTTTTGTTTTTCGTTTTTTGTTTTTTGTTTTTCTGTTTTTTTGTTTTTCACAGGTAGAGTTAGAGTTGAGAGAGAGACAGAGAGAAAGGTCTTCCTTCTGTGGGTTCACTCCCCAAATGGCCGCCATGGCCAGCGCTGCGCCAATCCGAAGCCAGGGGCTAGGCGCCTCCTCTAGGTCTCCCAGGTGGGTGCAGGGGCCCCAGCACCAGGGCCATCCTCCACTCTCCTCCCGGCCAACAGCAGAGAGCTAGACTGGAAGAAGAGCAACTGGGACTAGAACCCGGGGCCCATATGGGATGCCGGTGCCGCAGACGGAGGATTAACCAAGTGAGCCACGGCGCCGGCCCCGAAGTGCAGTGTTGTTCAAGGCAGACTTGGACAGAGGGCCCACCGTGTAATGTGGATTGCATAAAGTGAATGAGAGAGGTGAGCATCTGGTAAAGGGGAGCAAGTTTTTGGGAACTAGGGTGGCCCAAGCCATATGCAGGTGAAAGTAAGTGGCAACCCTGTTGTGGAAGAAAAGACAACAGCTACTAGAAAAGAAAGAAGCCGTCACTGGGTGGGAAGGAGCTGGGAGGCTGTGGGCCGAGGGGGTGGGGGTAACTCCCAGCCTGACCCATGCGAGGAGAGCTAAGTGCAGAGTGGGTCAGGGAAGTCAACAGCAGTGAGTCATTTGATGGCCAGGTCTGTGTCTCCCCTGTGCTGCGGGAATCTGAGACACCCAAGGAAAAGCACTAAGAAGCAACTTAGGGCGAGCTCCAGGATCTGCATAAGGCTAGGGCTCTGGTCTCCCTGAACCCTCCCTCTGTCTCCACCACATCGCCATCCCTCTTCTTTCTACGAACCCATGCTCAGGTGGCCTGTTTCCTTCTCTGTTGTACAAAGAATCAATCCATGTGTACCCCACCTCTTCTCCTCACCCGACATTTGCACCAGGGCATCGTGAGGAGTCTAAGTTGCTTCTCCACCTTTGCAGCATCCTCAGGTCAACATGAGTTTGCTGAGCCTCTCTAGGGAAGTCGTGCATGTGGATTCAGGAGGTTCTGCCTGCCTTCTCCTTTGGCCCAATGCCCTGTCCCCAGGGGAAATGTCTAGTGTGCTTTCCCATGGATCACAGGAGTGACAGGGAATCTGGTTTCACAGCCCCTCCCCTTCACACTTACCTCCTCCTGGAGCTGTCTCCCTGGGCTTGGACACTCAGCAGGGCTGGCTGGCCGCCTCCACAGTGGGAAATCACCAGTTCAGGACCGAGGCAGGGAGCGGGCTGCTCAGAGTCCAACTGCTGCTGGGACAAATTTAAAGGTAACTGGAACGGAATGTTGGGTTCAGGCTTCCCTGGTGGGGGAGGGGAGGCAAGAGATGGCCTGGGTGTGGCTGGGGACACATTCCATGGGGGTTCTGGCAGGCAGGCTAGAACCACAAGTGACACATTTGACACACAAGGGATGTCTGTGTCTTTAGGCCATTTTAAAGTGCTGCAGATTCCCAACAGGAAGCTTGTACTTGGTGACCCTTTCACTCCATTCCATCTCAAGAAGCCTTCCTTTGCAGGCCTCACCCACCCTGCTTCCCGTGTGTGCAAGTAGGCTCTAAGGATGTTCCAGAATGGCTGCCCTTGCTCCTCCATTTCAGAGCACAGTATGAGGGCATGCTTGCTTTGGGATGCTATAGGAGTGGGTGTAGCGAGTAAGGCCTCTCAGTAATCAGTACATTGGTCTCCTGTGGACACTTCATCCTGAAGGATTCATTCTTGTCTCTCCAAGTACTGTTCCCTGCTAAAATCTCTGTGTTCTGCAAAGGACCCTCTTAGTTTTGATCCCCTTCGATAAAGCCTCACTTCAATAATGAGTAATATTAAAGTCTGCAGACTAACACAGAAATTCTCTGCTTTTTGTTACTGATAGTGTTTGTTGTTCAGTGTGTAATGCTCTTCATTTCATACTGTAACATCCTCTAACAAGAAGTTGTATAGTTCATAAAAATTTCAAGTCCCCTAGGGCCAGGCATTTTTCTAGGAGTCAACACATGCCTATCTTATATCAAAGTGTCTGGGTGTGACTCACAGCTCCTTTTCCCTTTCGGCTTCCTGCTAATATGCACCAAAAGAGGCAAATGGAAGGCTCAAGTATTCAGGTACATGCACACAAGTGACTGTCCTGGATTGACTTCCAAGTCCAAGTTCCCAGCATTGTGTTTGCATAGACTTAGACTTTGAAGGTATTGGAGAGTGAAGCAGAGTTTAGGAGCTATGCTGATCTGCCTATCTACTTCTTTAAAAAAACTCCTAGTACCCAAAAGAGCTATGTGTCCAAATTTATCAAATATAAACAAATGATACCAAGTTGAATTTGAATTTCAGATATGAGAGGTAGTTTTGAATATAATCATTTTCCATAGATTGAAATTTTTTATTATTTATCTGATAACTTTTTATTATTTACATTTCATTGGTTCCCTGCATTGTATCTGAAATTGCTGTCTACACAGTGTAATATTAAGCTGTTATCATTTTCTAACTCTTAAAAGCAGAATTTGAAGTAAAGAGAGTGAATGGTCACGGTGGCTCTACGACCAAGTACAGTAGTTGCAAGGAAACAGAACTGTAGTCCTTTTTGATGATACTGAATTTGCAGTAGCCATCCCAGAATACTGACTATCTATCCTTAGCGGAACGTGAGCTGTATGTCAGGGACAGAGAGGCAAGTGACTTTTTTCTTCTGCTCTAACATAAAACTTACTGGGCTTTCCTAGAGCCCTTGAATCTCGAGGAGTTAAAAATCTGCTGCCCAAGCCAAACACACTTCTCATTCTCAATCTGTCACTCCCATCTAGCTGGCCCATCTTGACTGCATCACAGAATGTAGCTCTTTGGATTCCAGGGTCATCATCTCATGAGTGGATGTCATTGTCACATCCCTTTATCAGAAAGTTGAATCATTCATATTGTGATATTGTGAAGAATTGCCAGTTTATCAGTGTCAAAATGCTATGAAATTGCAATAGTATTTCATCATAGTAGAAAAGTTTTTGTTACTCAAAACAGACAAGGCACACACACTCCAAAGGATTGCAACCACACCCCAGAAGACTTTTTGGCATTTTGGATGGTTTTTTTTTTTTTTTTTTTTTTTTTTTTGACAGGTAGAGTGGACAGTTAGAGAGAGAGAAAGGTCTTCCTTTTCCGTTGGTTCACCCCCCAGTGGCTGCTCTGGCAACACATTGTGGCCGGTGCACCATGCCGATCTGAAGCCAAGAGCCAGTTGTTTCTCCTGGTCTTCCTCGCGGGTGCAGGGCCCAAGCACTTGGGCCATCCTCCACTGCCCTCCCGGGCCACAGCAGAGAGCTGGACTGGAAGAGGGGCAACCGGGACAGAATCCAGCACCCCGACCAGGACTAGAACCTGGGGTGCTAGCGCCAGAGGTGGAGGATTAGCCTGGTGAGCCGCGGCGCTGGCTGGCTTTTTGGACTTTTGCCAGTGTGGGTCCATGCTGTCCTGCACCTCCAGGGCATGTGGCCTTCAGGCCACCCGCTCCATGCTTCCTGGCCTGCGTGCTCCTCCACGTGGCTGACTCCTGGTGCTCAGTATGAATCCAGATTTCCCTCTCTCTCTCTCTCTCTCTTTTTTTTTTTTTTTTTTTTTTTTTTTTTTTTTTTTTGGACAGGCAGAGTTAGTGAGAGAGACAAAGAGACAGAGAGAAAGGTCTTCCTTTTTCCATCGGTTCACCCCCTAAGTGGCCGCTACTGCCGGCGCCCTGCGCCAATTGAAGCCAGGAGCCAGGTGCTTCCTCCTGGTCTCCTATGTGGGTGCAGGGCCCAAGGACCTGTGCCATCCTCCCCTGCCTTCCTGGGCCACACAGAATCCGGCACCCCGACCGGCACTAGAACCCGGGGTGCCGGCACCGCAAGTGGAGGATTAGCCTAGTGAGCCGCAGCGCCAGCCTTCCCTCTCTCTTTAGATAGGGCCCTCATTCTACTATGCATTTCTTTGACTGAATAAAAGGTTTAAAAACGTACGCTGCCTCATTCATTTATGCCGCTATTCAGAATTCTCTGAATATTAGCAAAACCCACACAGGCCTATTACTACAGGGAGTTTATTAGGAAGCACACGGTGATGTCATATGGCACCCATATTCTGATGTCACAACTGCAGGGACTTTGCTGTAGGCTGCACCACTGCAGAGTCTTTCACCAAGGGTGAAATTGCGTGGTGAGAGATTCTGTGGTTTTGAAAACCGGAGATGTTTCCTGGGGCTAGTTAAAGGAGAGATGGCCTCGGGAAGTCGAGGAAGGACCAGTGCCCTTAGCAGCTGAGCCCCAGAGGCTTTTCGGATCACAAGTACTCTGCTCTCGGTGTCCCTGGCCCCTTCAGGATGCCAGGACTGCGCATGCGCACGCCCTCTGTCAACTGCACATCCCAGAGCTTGGCCTCCGCCCTTCGTCGTCTTCCAGTGTCTGCAGCGGCAGTGGGTCCCAGGAGAGGCGCAGGCATGAGAAGAAAGCGGGTTCCCGATGGTCTGTTGCTCCATTAGTGGAGACTAGGGTACATTGCAGACAGGAAGTAATGGATACCCAGGCTCGCCGCGAACTAAGCGTCACTGCTCTCACCTTTGGTCTGTGTGGCTCCGGGGGCTCCGTGGGAAATTGGCCTCCGCCGATCCTGGTGCTTGTCCTTGCTGTGTAGACATCCGAACTTGACGTGAGGCTGCTGTAATATTGCAGAGGGACCCGGGTGCCCTGTGGGTGACACTGTGTAAGGAAGACGTTGGGATTCTAAAACCCCGATCCAGGGCTGCAAGGACGGAGTCCATATCTCACATACAGCATCTCCTGAAAGTAAGGAACAGATAGCGCTTGTGTTTTTGTTACAATCGTGTGTCAGCTATGTCATTGGTCTGCTCACTTTAATAATAAGCTTTTTGTTCCTAGTCTGATGTTAGATCATGGTCGTCTTGCCAGCATAGGTTAGAAGTGGATGCAAAATTTAGGCCAAAATCTTTAAAAGTGGGATCTGAGATATGCATCTCACTGCATGAAATTTATAAAAAAAGAATACATTTATAGAACTTACAGTACAGAATTTTGTATATGCTATGGTTTGTATCGTGTTTGCTACTCACCTGTTAACATCAGTGCCACATACTGCACACTGGTATGGGTGTGCATTCATGGGATTTGGGGAGCACTGTGTTTTTTGAGGATGTTGAGTCTTGTTGAATTGGAGGGCATGTGAGAATTACAGGGTGGTTGTGGGTATCTGAAGGTATGACTGTGTATTTGTTAGTGTTTTGGTGTTTTCAGGAGTTCAGGACATGTATGTTGCTATTTTTGTGTTTTTGGAGGGTTTTGGTAGGACTGTATTTTTTAAGATTTGTTTACTTGAAAGGCAGGACAACAGAGAGAAGAGTAGAGAGATCTTCAATCCACTGCTGCATTACCCAAGAATCCGTAACTGTCAAGTCTGGGACAGGTGAAACCTGGGAGCCAAAAGCTCCATCCTGGTCTCCTGCACCGGTGACAGCAGGTACATTAGCAGCAAAGCTGTTCAAAACAAAGCAGCAGGACACAGACTGACAATGCTGTGTCAGAAGCAGCTGCTGCACCACAGTGCTGGCCTCTTAGGAATCTGTTTGTATTCCTTCTTGGGTTGGTTATGTCTTTAAGAGGTTAGTGAGAATCTTATTTGTGTGCACATATGTGTGGGTGGTGTTGTTTTTGTGCATATTTGGTATAAAGGGTGGATGAGGATTTCTTTGTGAGTCTGTATTTTTTAAATATTTATTTATGTGAAAGAGTGACAGAGTGAGGGACACAGAAGGAAAGAGATCCCATCCACTGTTCGGCTCCCCAAATGGCTGCAATAGCCAGGGCTGAGCCAGGCAGGAGCCAGGAACCTGGAACTCCATCTGGGTCTTGCACATGGGTAGCAGGGGCCCAAGTTCTCGGGTCAACTTCTGCTGCTTTCCTAGGCACGTAACCACGGGAGCTTAGTGGAAGTGAAGCAGCTGGGACTGGACCTGGCAGTTTGATAGGGGACAATGTCCTTGCAGACACTTGCCCAGCCTCAAGTAGGCTTCGGCATTGGTCCTGTGAGTCTGTGTTGTTGAGTGTATTTGAGGCGTGTGAGATGCAGTGCATGTGCACTCAAGGATTGGCAGGTTGACTGTTAGTAACTTTGGATTTGTAAGAGTATTTTATCTGTTTTTCCCAAGAATATTGCAGTTTATGTGTGTGTTTGTGTATATGTGTGAAATGAGCTTGCAGGAATTATCTGCATGTACATAGCTGCTGTATAAAAAGCTTATTTGGCTGTGCAATGCAATTTGTATATTTGAGATAAAGAATCCTTTTTTTTACTGGGAGTATACTTTGCAGTTATGTGTGGGTTGATGGTGACTTTTAGTGGTTGTTTAGGCATATTGTAAGTGTGAGGGCATGCCGGCGCTGTGGCTCAATAGGCTAATCCTCCGCTTTGCGGCGCCAGCACACTGGGTTCTAGTCCTGGTCAGGGCACCGGATTCTGTCCCGGTTGCCCCTCTTCCAGGCCAGCCCTCTGCTATGGCCCGGGAGCGCAGTGGAGGATGGCCCAAGTGCTTGGGCCCTGCACCTGCATGGGAGACCAGGAGAAGCACCTTGCTCCTGCCATCGGATCAGCGCGGTGCGCCAGCCACAATGCACCAGCCGCGGTGGCCATTGGAGGGTGAACCAACGGCAAAAGGAAGACCTTTCTCTCTGTCTCTCTCTCTCACTGTCCACTCTGCCTGTCAAAATAAATAAATAAATAAATAAAAATAAAAAATAAAAGTGTGAGGGCATATTTGTAAAGATTTTTGGGAACTGATTATATACTTTGGGCTGTAAATGATTCTGTATTTAGGGAGAAGGAGGCGTTATATCCATGTGAGTACTCTGTTTTGCATGATTATGTATATGCAGGTTATTTGGGGTTGTGTGTACAGAGAATATAAAAATTCTTGGACGTGGAATTTAAAGTTTGCTTTTTTTGCAAGAACTTGCTATTTCCATTCATATAGGAGATCTTCAGAAAGTTCCTTCACATGTGCATTTTGAAAAACCTGTGCACATTGGGAAGAATTCTGGGGTGTTTCTAAATATTTTGGAAATGTTGGGGTGTGTAGTCAGGAGGCTGTATTCTGAAGACATGGCATATAGTATAGTGTGTTAAAGATATATATATTCTGTGATTGGGAGTGTGCGTGTATGCATGTATATGTTTAAATTTGTTAGTTGAGTATGTATTAGTCTGTGTTCAGGGATATTTAGTGTTTTATGTTTTTGTGTGTATGTATCTTGAGTGGTTGACACAAATTCATGAGCTTTGTTGGCAAATGTATATAAGGTGATCATATACTTTATGTTTACTATGGAGCATAACTCGAAGATTTTGGTAATGATGTTTCCATGTATCATCCTAGCATTGGCGTTGTGTTCTTATTTATCTGATACAGCTTGTTTGTGGCTCTTTATGTACTTTAGGTTATAGAACATAAGAAATATGTATTTGGGGGCATTGGATTTCAATGTGTGTGTGTGTGTGTGTGTGTGTGTGTGTTTGGAAATAGAGAAGCTATGTAGGTTATATGTGCTTTCAAGAATTGTGGTATATGCTCCATAGAATGCAACACAGCAGTAAACAAAAAAATACAAAATCCTGTCATTTGCAATAAAATGGGTGAAACTCAAAAACATCATACTTAGTGAAATAAGCTAGTCTCAGGACAAATACCATATGTTCTATTAGTAATAACTAATAGAGCATGTAAAAGACAATCTATAGAAATAAAATTGAGAGCACTGACTTTGAACAGCCCTTGTCACCACTGTTGAGGAGAAGTTTTTTTTTTTTTTCAAACTATTTGTTGAACTCTTCAATTAACATAGAGTTAATCATATCATATGTGTATAAAGTTAATTGAAAATAGATCTTAGTGAAAAATAAGAATGGGAGTAGGAGAGGGAGGAGGAAGACAGGTGGGAGTGTGGGTGAGAGTGGATATGGTGGGATGAATCACCATGTTCCTAAAGCTATAATTATGAAACATATGAAGTTTATATTCCATAAAAGGTTTCTGGAAAAAAAAGAATTGTAGTATGTGTATATTTTATAGCTGGGTATTGCATGTAGATCTTTCTGGTGTGTGGGCCCCAATTGTTTATATTCATTGACAGCCTGTATATGTAAGGTTTTCAGTGTGTGTATATGGGCATTGCCTCCTTTGTACATGTTTGCATACAGATGCATGTTTGTGTGAGTGTGTGTATATGTGTGACTGTATTTGTAGGAATGGCATGTGAGAATTCAGGGAAAGTAAGTTTTTTTCTGTAAAAATTGAGGTAGGAATGGTTACTCTGTTTCGGTGTATATGAGTATGCAGAATTTTCCTGGGGCGTACATTCTGCAGCAATGTAGTGTGGCTTTACTGAGGTAGGGGCATAGGGTCCTACTTGCAGAGCAATTGGAATGTGTGTACAGATTCATATGATGGAATACAGGTGAGCTTAATGTGGCTCATAGAAGCTTGGCGCATATCTCTGTCCAGTTCTGTGTTCATTGACATCAGGTTGGTAGCTTGAAATTAGTCATAGTGGGATATTTACACCAGATAAACGTGAAAATACAAAGCCTCTTCCATACCCGTGGAGGGAATCTTGTTAAGCATTTAAAGTGCACCACTACACACTTCACAACTGTGTGTATGTGTGTGTGTGTGTGCACATGCCTATATGTGTGTGTTTTATTTTGTTCACAGACACAAAGGGACAGTTCTGTTGTGGTGTTGCCAGAAAACTAGTCTGAAACAGCAGTTGCTCAACAGTTAGCTTCATTTTCTTGTGAAAAGTAAAGAGACAGTGGGCTGTTACAATTCCCTGAGGAACCTGCCTCTCCAAGAAGTGATTTTCTAGGGCTTTCATAGCGAGGGTTAGGGGAGTGTGCAGGATGTAAAAAACCGAGAAGAGGAGTCCCTTCTTGCTTATAATAAACAGCCAGGATATAGGATGGGGGAAGTAGGCACTTCCTATTCCACCTAAATACATCTTCATACTTTGTATGTTCAGAAATATGTCTTTCAACCTTCCTTGTTTCTGGTGGTCTGGCTTCCTGTGAGTGTAGTGTTACAAGATAATGCTTCTTCCAACATCCTCTGAAAATCAAACTGTGATTAATGAACTGCTTCAGGTTCTGCACTCTTGTTCCTGTGCCCCTTTTTGCCAAAATGCTGCTCTATTGATTACAAAATGTTCCTAAGATACTGCACTCATCTTCCTTTTTAAAACATAGTTTATTTGCCAGCACCACGGCTCACTGGGCTAATCCTCCACCTGCGGTGTCGACACCCCAGGTTCTAGTTCCGGTTGGGGCGCTGGTTCTGTCCTGGTTGCCCCTCTTCCAGTCCAGCTCTCTGCTGTGGCTCAGGAAAGCAGTGGAGGATGGGCTAAGTACTTGGGCCCTGCACCCGCATGGGAGTCCAAGAGGAGGCACCTGGCTTCTGGCTTTGGATCGGCGCAGCACACCAGCCATGGCAGCCATTTCGGGGGTGAACCAACAGAAGGAAGACCTTTCTCTCGGTCTCCCTCTTTCTCTGTCTAACTCTGCCTGTCCAAAAAAAAAAACATAGTTTATTTTGATAACATATTTTAATTAGATTATTGTCAATAACATAAAGCCTCGGCTAAATAACAAGTTAAACAGATAAAAAATAGAACGACCATAGTCCAGCAGGAAAATATGCAAAGGCTATAAGAATGATCAAATGGGAAGGTGTTCAACTTCATTCATGTAGGCTTTAAAAGTCACAGAATCATGAATACTATAGTGATATATCATTCCAATAAGTTCATTGGACAAATATTTAAACCAAAGTTTGACAAAACACTCTATATACAACAGAACTGATAGACATGGCATTTCTTTTTTAATTTTACTTCCCACATATAAAGGAGATTATAAAGTATTTGTCTTCCTGTGTCTGGCTCATTTCACTCAACATGATGTCCTCCACTTCCAATTTTAAATTTGCAAATTCATCATATTGCTTTAAAGTGTCCAAAAGATTCCTTTTAATAAATGGCCTGACTTTAGTCTAAGCCACGAAGTACCAAATCACAAGAATTGCCATTACACCCAGTTCTAGGTCTCCCAAGAGTTCTGTGTGGTCTTCCCAAGATTTGGCTGCTGGGAGCACAATCTTTTCTAAGGGATTGTACAACCCTGAAGAAGCATTTTAACATGGAGAACAAGAACAGTACCCGCATATACCTCTGTTTCTAACAAATTTCGTTAAACATTTTTTGGATCCACTTGTCCAAATTCCCTCTCATTGTATGAAGTCCCAACATCCATCCTATGTTAAATGATGTTTTCCTCTTTGATAAGAATGTATTGTAAATATAGTATGACTAAAATGCACTGCTTTCAAATATATGTGATATGAGGTCACCGTTTTCAGCATTCCTGTAGGTAACCATTGTTCAAAGTATGTACTTGCCTGTTATTTTTGTCCAAATAAAATCACATTGAACTCTCCTCAAATAATATCAAGGGGTTATACTCAAATGCCACAGTTGAACCTCATTTGTACCCCTGCAAGAGTCAGAAAGTGCTTAGAATATTCCTCTGTTCAAACAGAATTTGGGGTAGAAAACCCTTTGTGTCCTATCAACCTCAATGTCTGGAGGTGGAAGGCTCAATCTGCTCTGATGATACTGTCACATGAATCTTGTGAACAGAGGCCAAAACTAATTTTGAAGTGTATGAATTATGCTTAATGTTATTGTAGTTAGACTTTAATAAAAATACATGAAATATGTTTACTGACACCTCTGACTGTTGGTTCTGAAATTTCCACACGGCATATGTCTGATCCTTATCAGCCACATGATAGAAAAAGGCTCTGATGGAGTCAGCAAAAGAAGAGAAATGTACAGCTTTTAAAAAGCCATTTGTCTGGCTTTTCACACCTTAATAATGATGAAGTGTCTAGCTCTCAGGATGGTGACTCATGCTTCCCTAGTCCTACACCCAGTATTAAGTGACCCTTCTAGGACATAGAATATCCAGAGTGACATTTTGGTGACAGCAGTGCATAGTGAAGAGAGAGAACCCAGCTGTGTTGCATGCAAAGTGTGTTCATCTTACTGTTATCCAGTACAGTGCTCCACTATGAATTGCAAGGAAAGGATGCATTTAATTTCTAGACTTATCCCATGCAGGTCAGAGAAATTTGCTTCTTATCTTCATAGAATTAAGCCATTGGCACAATTCTTTCAGAAGAGATCAACATTGATTGATAATGTTACTCTACATTTGCAAGCCTTTAAACTAAGCAAAAAGAAAAACAGAGCCCAAGGCTCAGTTGACAAGAAATGGGCATGATGCTACAATGACAACAGGTGACCCCTGCCCTGCATCTTTGGAGGAGGCTGATGTGGGCCTTGGCCACTTAGGACCATGTCTTTATGACATGTGCCTAGGAGGACACACATGCTCATTATAGGTATGCTTTGGTGCTGAGTATCCTAAAGAGAATAAAAGCACAAAGATGGCTGGTGCATAGATGGTAAGGAAGTGCCACATTTCAGAGCACATCCTGGAATCACAAAGCATGCGGTCAAAGCCTGGAAGGGCTTGTATGACCTGAGAGAAAGCCAGTAGCTTAAATGTTTGACCACGTGGAGAGCCATTCAGGGGCCAGGGGCTAGGACGGGGCCTGTGCCCTTTGGTGCCACTGTTGACAGCCTGTCCCCTACCCTCCTCCACTACAGAGAGCTCACAGACTCCCTCCCTCAGCCCTGTCCTCACATTCTCAGCTGTTCTGACTGATGCTACCTGGCGAGCACTACACTGAGCAGTGTGATCAAGGTGAGCACTCCATGAGGGAATGAGGAGAGCCCCACCCCAGTGGGGAATTGTTTCAGGAATCTGGGGCGCTCGCACTGCATTGCGCCCTTATAGCTCAGTACTGCTCCCCCTGATAGCACTGATCCCACACCTCTTTCCCTTGCCTGCACCCCATGCCATGAGGACAGGCTGAGCAGAAGGGACCCTGGGCATCCGGGCTGTGGCTCTGCTGTCCTCCATGGGAGACCGCAGTCCTTGCAGGAAGAAAGTCCCTGCAACTGGCAGCCAGGAACTAGCCTAGGACAGATGGCAGAGGCTGGCCCGAGTGATAGCAGTGCACAAGGCTGTGTTCCTCCCAGCCCCAGCTGTGGATCCTGGACCAGGCCCTGGCGCCCTTCTCAGCCCCATGGACACCCACGAGAGGGCACATGAGCCACCCTTTGAGGAAGGGAAGGCAAATGTGGAAGAAGAGAAAGGGTATCTGCCTCCTGCCACAGACCAAGCCCCCAACAGGCTCCTGGGGCCTCAGGCCTCCACTCTAGCTCCCAGGACTGGGAAAAGGTCCAGGAACCCCATCACTGAAGGGTGTGCTGGTGCTGTCCAGGACCCAGAGGGTCCAGCGGCAGGGGCCCTGCTTATGGGAGAGCCCTGTCCTCAGGAGACAGTGCTCCCTGAGCCTGTCTCAGGATGCTCCCCACCTGCCCAGGAGTCAAAAACCACAGAGGGGCCAAGGGAGGAGCAGCCACCCAGCTCTTCAGGCCCATGTAAAGCAGCCCACCCAATCTTGGTGGGGAAAAAATGCCCAAGGCCCACCTTGGAACCACGCTGCACATATCTCTGGAGTTCAGCACCTGGCATAGAGGGCTTCACTTGCTCGGGATCCTGCCCATGCTGACACCTCTGTTCTTCCTCCTCTGAGACCCAGGTGAGTTGCATTGCTGTTGAGGGAGAGTGGGACTGATTGTCCAAGTAACAACAAGGCCTCGGGGATGGACTAGGCCCTGGGGGAGACAACAGAGCCTCTCCACCCTCCCCTTTCTCCCTGCCTGTGAAAGAGACTCCACACTCCCTGTCACAGCCCCCTAACACTTGTCAGGTCCCAGCTGCTGCTACCACTACTGGCTTTGGGAAATTCTCTACCCTGGCCTGGATCCTTCATGTCCCTGTTGCACACCCCCACACCCCACTTAACACACACGTCTCTAAGTCTTCCGTGAGTGTCTCTACTCACCCTCTTCCTCCTCCCTTTAGGTTCAGACCCATTGTAGGGATTTCTTTTTCCAAGTTAGTATCAGAAGAATAACTGGTTAATGTCAGGTTTCTTGAGGATACGCTTGGCTGAGAATGAAAGCAGAGGGAACTTCATCACGAAGGTTAGAAGCACCCTGTTTGGTAAATGTGGTTGTTGTCTGCTTCTCTTGATTTATAGGAGGGTTGGATGACGACTTAGTTACAGTTGGTTCTGATGGAACTTTAGCATGAGCGACTCCATGTTGATGTCCAGTCTTGGGTGCTTGAACCCAATCAGAAGCTTGCTCGAAACCAACATTTCCTGAAATTTTTACCAACACTATGTCGGGAAGGTCAGGGGCGAGGCGTTACAGTCAGCCTCTGGTGACAACAGTGTAAGCCAAGCTCCTCAGTTCTCAGCTGCAAGGTACTGAATTCTGCCAACAAAATCAATCAGGGAGTGAACACAGCCCTGCCCGGCATCTTGATTGCAGCCTCTCACAGAACTCAGCTGGACACTGTCTGCTCCCAACCACAGGACAGTGAGGTGATACATGGTTTGTATTGGGCTTCTAAGACTGTAGTGATATTGTTTTGCAGTAGTACGTGTCTAACACACCATGTAAGAAAAGGAAACGAGAGAAATGTTAAATAAGGCAGTGCAGGTGGTCATTTGGCTCTGATTAAGACACCAACATCCCACATCATAGTCCCGAGGTTTGAGTCCCAGCTCCAATTCCAGTTCTAGCTGTTAATGTGCACCCAGGAAGGCATCGGGTCAGGGCCCAATTACTTGAGTCCCTACCACCCACAAGAGAGATCCAAATTGAGGTCTAGGCTCCTGGTTTCAGCACACATCAGCCTCTGCTAAAGCAGGTACTTGGGACTGAAACAGCTGATGGAAGACATGTCTTTCACTTGCTTGCTCTCAGCCTTCTGAATAAATAAAAAAGAATGTAAACAAATTTGAGAACAGAAAACAGTGAATGTAAAACAAGGAGAAACAAAATAACCAGGTATTTTAGAGAAAAATCCTTATGATGTAGAATGGACTGAAGGGTCCCTGGGACAGATGAAGCCTTGCTGAGGGAGATGCTGTGCAGTGGACACCACTGACCATGGCCTCCCTACAGATTTCAGTATCAGCCCTCTGATTCTGGGGAGGAAGAGGAGAGCAATCCAGAGTGTGTGCACTGTAACCGCAGTAAGCACCAGGATGGCTTCTCAGGACCCTGAGGAAATGAGTAGTAGCTCCACAGGGCAGATAGAGGGGATGTGGAGCATGTGGGGCCTAGAGTGGCCTGTTCTAGCACTCTGTACCGACTGACAGCTGAGGCTTTCTGTCTCCTGTGCCTGGCAGCTGCTAGGCCCTGCAGCAGGAGCAGATACTTGGTGTGATGCTAGTTCCAAGGTTTGTGTCCTGGCTGCTCCTCTTCCAATCCAACTCTCTGCTTGAGGCCTGGGAAAGCAGTGGAAGACGGACCAAATTCTTGGGCCCTTGCATCTGCGTCGGAGACCCGGGAGAAACTCCTGGCTTCTGACTTCGGATCAGCTTAGGTCTGGGAGTTGCAGCAACTTGAGGAGTGAAAGAATAGATGAAGGATTTTTCTATCTCTCTCTATCTCTATCTCTGTCTCTGACACTTGAATAAATAAATAAATAATCATTTTAAAAATTGTGTCTCCTTAAAATATATGTTGAAGTGTTCAGGGAACTCAGATTGTGACCTTACTTAGAAATAGGGCCTCTGCTGATGTGATTAGATGAGATGAATTCCTACAGAGAAGAATGGGCTCTTAGAGACCCAAGATGACTGCTGTCTTGGTGAGAAAAAGAGAAGATAAGAGAAGGTCATGCAAATACTTAGCCAGAGGCTTGGGCAGGGAGAGCATCTACAAGCAGAGGAACTCCAGGGATTTAGGGAAATCAGTGAACAGCAGCAAAAGGCAAGGAAGGATTTTCCCCTAAAACCTTCAGAGAGAGCCTGGTCCCCACAACACCTTGATTTTGAGCTTGCAGCCTCCACAGCAGTGAGAAAATAATGAGTTTCTGTTGTTTCAAGCCGTCCATGTTTGCAGTAACTCTTACACAGCCATAGAAAAAATTAGATATGATGATAAAGTTTATAGAGATCCATTATTTTCACTAATCAAGAGGACTAACATTTTAAAAACAAACTATTAATTTAGGTTAACTTTATCTGACACTACTGCAACAGAAAAAGATGGTAGAATATCAAAGAATATGAATCATTTATTCTGTCAAGTTTGTATGGCAGGGCAAGGGGCCAGTGACATCAGCAGACCCTGTTTCAGGAATGGTGGGCTGGGGCCAGTGCTGTGGTATAGCGGGTAAAGCTGCCGCCTGAGGTGCCGGCATCCCATATGGGCTCTGGTTCGAGACCCAGCTGCTCCACTTCTGATCCAGCTCTCTGCTATGGCCTGGGAAAGCAGTGGAGGATGGCCCAAGTCCTTAGGCCTCTGCACCCACATGAGAAGACCTGGAGGAAGTTCCTGGCTCCTAGCTTCGGATAGGCACAACTCCATCCATTGCGGCCAATTGAGGAGTGAACCAGCAAATGGAAGACCTCCCTCTCTCTCTCTCTCTGTGTCCCCTTCTTTCTCTGTGTAACTCTGACTTTCAAATAAATAAATAAATCTAAAAAAAAAGAAATGGTGGTCATAACATCAGCAGTTGTCCAACAGACACAATTACTTCTGTAAAATTAAAGTGGCACTGGTGAGAACCTGACGATAAATAGGAGGAGCCCACTGTTAGCAGACACGAGGGCCCATTCTCTGTGGTGTCACCAAGCAGGAGTTGTTCAGAGGAACGGTTTATGGATGGTGGCAAGGAAGGGAGACTGGGAAGGCTGAGTTCCCTAAAGAAATGGCCTTTCTGAGAAGCAGTCTTCCACGGATCCTTTAGCCAGAGTGAGGGGAATGTCCAGGATGGAGAAAGGCTGGGTGACAGGAGGGCCCTTCCTGCTCAAGCCACATCCATCTCACACCCTGTAGATGTGAGACTCTGACTCAGACCAGGTGCATGAGTGGTGGGCCACCCTCTAGTCCAGTGTAGCGAGAGAGGCCTTCGAGAACATTCTCTGAGAAACAGGCTGAGGTGGGTGAACTTTCCAGATTCAGTGTCTGTTCCTGTGGCCCGCTCCTGCCCAAATCCTACACCCTTGCTTACACCTGTGGCAAACATGGTTCAAACCAAGGTTGAATTCTCAAGTTCAATCTGCCAACTGACTATGTAAAAAATGCTCTTAGACGGACCGGCACTGTGACAGCGGGTAAAGCCCCTGCCGGCAGTGCTGGCATCCCATGTGGGCACTGGTTCTAATCCCAGCTGCTCCACTTCCAATCCACCTCCCTGCTATGGCCTGGGAAGGCAGTGGAAGATGGCCCAAGTCCTTGGGTCCTGCAGCTGCTTGGAAGACCCGGAAGAAGCTCCTGGCTCCTGGCTTCAGATCAGCTCAGCTCTGGACATTGCAGCCTTCTGGGGAGTGAACCAGCAGATGGAAGACCTCTCTCCCCTCCCCCCTCCACCTCAGCCTCTTTGTAAGTCTGCCTTTCAAATTAGATAAATAAATCTTTACCCATTCCCCCTGCCTTTCACTAGGAATTGTGCAGTGCACCCTAAAGGATGGTTGACATCTTACCATGTCTTGGAAAATGTTTTCAAGTAAGTTAGCAGATTGTGTTTCTCTTTCTGACTTGGTATTTTAATGGATTTAAAATAATGTATGTTTTCCCATAAAGAACATACCTGATGCCTTCTTACCACCTGTGCTGCTTCTGGTTCCCCTGGGCACCACATACCTTCAGGAGGTATCTGCTCACTCAGGGCTCCCAAATCGTCCCCATGTGGCCACAGCTGTGACCTCCAGGGCAGTAACAAGTGGGAACCAGCCACCAGCTCCTCTAACTGTAAATAGGAAATAGGGAAACAGAACCATGAATAAACCAGAAATCAATATCAGAAAGACAGGTAAAACTGCAAACACTCAGGAAGTTAAGCAACAATCCAAATAATCCATGGATCAAGAGGTCTTAAAGAGGGATGGGTATGTGGCGCAGCACGTAAAGATGCAGTTTGAGATACCTACATCCCATACTGGATAGCCTGGGTTTGAGTCCTTGCTCTACTTCCAGCCACAGCTTCCTACTACTGCACATAGCTTAGGAGTCAGCAGGTGATGGCACGAGTATTTGTGTCTGTACCAGGCATTGTGAAGATCTGGGTGGGTGGGCTTCCAGGCTCCTGGCTTCAGCCTGCCTCAATCTTAGTATTTTCAGGCATTTTGGAAGAGGATCATTGGATCGAAGTTCTCTCTCTCTCTCTCTCTCTCCCTCCCTCTCTCCCATTCTCAATTCTCTCCTCCATCCCTTTGAAATAAAATCAAAATAATAAAATTATTTTTTGTTTCTTTTTGCATTATTTTGTTTATTTTTTAGGGTGAACAAATTTCTTTCTAAGATTTTATTTATTTGACAAGTAGAGTTACAGACAGTGAGAGAGAGAGAGAGAGAGAGAGAGGGAGGTCTTCCATCTGATGGCCACAATGGCGAGAGCTGCGCCGATCTGAAGCCAGGAGCCAGGAGCCTCCTCCTGGCCCCCACGCGGGTGCAGGGGCCCAAGCACTTGGACCATCTTCCATTGCTTTCCCAGGCCATAGCAGAGAGCTGGACTGAAAGAGGAGCAACCAGGACCAGAACAGGTGTCCATACGGGATGCTGGCACCACAGGTGGAAGATTAACCTAGTATGCCATTGCACCAGCCCCAAAGGTGATCATACAGATCATTCTGAAGGTGCAAATCATGTATTGGGTACAAATCATGTTTAAAACACAAAACTGAAAAATATCTGATTAAATAATAAATCCCTACATAAGACTAAGCATCCCTTGGCAAAATCCCAACAAGAATTTAAAAATACAAAGAGGGGCTGGCATTGTGATGTAGAGGGTAAAGCCACCACCTGCAGTGCCAGCATCCCATGTGGATGCCAGTTCAAGTCCCAGCTGCTCCTCTTCTGATCCAGCTCTCTACTACCACCTGGGAAAGCAGTGGAATATGGCCCAAGTGCTTGGGCTCCTGCACCTGCATGGGAAACCCAGAGGAAGCTCCTGGCTCCTGGCTTCGTATCAGCACAGTTCCAGCTGTTGCAGCCAATTGAGAAGTGAACCAGTGGATGGAAGACCTCTCTCTCTCTCTGTCTCTCCTTCTCTCTGTGTGTAACTCTGACTTTCAAATAAATAAATAAATCTAAATAAATCTTTAAAAAATGCAAAGTATATTTTTATCATTTTTATATTTTCTTTGATAGGCAAAAAGAGCTGTTAAAGTGACATACATTTCACAATACTGATTAGAATGTGCTGAAAAATAACATCAGATGAACAGTTTGGCACCACTAGACTACACACACTGGTGTAGAATCTGATTTGAGAATCTCAACATGGGAAAAGTGGTGCTGACAACGGTGTGGTAGTGTGGGACATCGCATGAGCCCCCGGAGGACTTGCCGTTCAGTGTCTGGAACCAAAGTAAGACTACATGTGTAAAATTAAAGTTAATTTCAGAACTAATAACCTTTACAGGAGTTAAGATATGATTTGAAACAAAATGTCTAAATCCTTCTAGAAAGTGTGTATTTAATAAATACGTAAATACAAAACCCTGCAGCTTCATTCCCAGAAAACATCTCCTATGCCTGGTGAACACAGACCCCGGTCCTCAGCCAGAAGACCTGCCAGCTCCTTGTTGTTTCTGATCATGAAACAGGGTTAAGATGTTGCACAGTCAGACTCACCAGTCTCACTTCCTGGCCTTTGGGAATTATGCACTGGAAGGCTGTCACATCTTCATTTTTTAAAGGAATTCATTTTTTTCAACCTAAATATCTTTTATAAGAAATAAGGCTTGAGGCCGGCGCCGCGGCTCACTAGGCTAATCCTCCGCCTAGTGGCGCCGGCACACTGGGTTCTAGTCCCGGTCAGGGCGCCGGATTCTGTCCCAGTTGCCCCTCTTCCAGGCCAGCTCTCTGCTGTGTCCAGGGAGTGCAGTGCAGGATGGCCCAAGTGCTTGGGCCCTGCACCCCATGGGAGACCAGGAAAAGCACCTGGCTCCTGGCTCCTGCCATCGGGTCAGCGCGGTGCGCCGGCTGCAGCGCGCTGGCCGCGGTGGCCATTGGAGGGTGAACCAACGGCAAAAAGGAAGACCTTTCTCTCTGTCTCTCTCTCTCACTGTCCACTCTGCCTGTCAAAAAATAAAAAAAAGAAATAAGGCTTGAAACAGAGATGCATATTTTTCATCTAAATTAATATGAACCATAATTTAATAACCTATTTTTTTAAAGTTTTTTTGTTTATTTGAACATCAGAGTTACACAGAGAGAGAAGGAGAAGCAGAGAGAAAGAGGTCTTCCATCTGCTGGTCCACTCCCCAGATGGCCACAACGGCTGGAGCTGAGCCGATCCGAAGCCAAGAGCCAAGAGCGTCTTCCAGGTCTCCCATGTTTGTGCAGGGGCCTTCTGGACTTGGGCCATCTTCTACTGCTGTTCTAAGCCATAGCAGAGAGCTGGATTGGAAGAGGAGCAGCCAGGACTAGAACCAGCGCCCATATGGGATGCCAGCACTTCAGACCAGAGCTTTAACCCACTGTGCCACAGCACTGGCTCCAACCTAGTTCTTACTAGCTTGAAAATCTATCTGTATTACATTTAAAACCTCACTGTGTACCAATTATTTGTATATTATGTGATCTTGATCTATCATTGAATCATGTAGCATGCTCTTAGTTACTTTATTTTTATTATGAATTTTAATAGTATAGTAAGGCTAACCCACTTTTGTAACACTTAGTTTTCATAATTTTCCTACCTATCCACACACTATTCAAGCAAATGAACTTTAGCATAAGCTTTTTTTTAAAGATTTATTTATTTTACTTGAAAGTCAGAGTTACATAGAGAGAGGAGAGGTAGAGAGAGAGAGAGAGGTCTTCCATCTGTTGGTTCACTCCCTAGTTGGCCGCATTAGCAGGAGCTGCGCCTGTCCAAAGGCAGGAGCCAGGAGCTTCTTCCGGGTCTTGCAAGTGGATGCAGGGACCCAAGGGCTTGGGCCATCTTCTACTGCTTTCCCAGGCCATAACAGAGAGCTGGATCAGAAGTGGAACAGCCAGGATTCAAATCGGCCCCCATATGGGATGCCGGCACTGCAGGCAGCGGCTTTACCTGCTACACCACAGCACCAGCCCCAGCATAAGGTTTTCAGAGTCAGGTATATAAAAACATACAAACAAATAAAACCTTGTCTTTTGTACAGAAGCATTTTAATGTGACATGATTTCATTTGTCAATTTTGAGTTTTGTTAAGACCTTGTTTCAGCCATGAACGTGCAAAAATATGATCCAGTTAACCCAAATGTGAAACTTTGAATATCTCTGCCTGTGTTTTGGGGCTCTTACTCAGAAAACCCTGCCCAGAACAGCATTGTGAAGTATGTCCAGTATTTTTTATCTTCTGCTAGTCTTCTCATTTAGGGGCTTTTCATTTAAGTCTTTAATCCATTTTCAGTTAATTGCTGTACATGAAGAGAGATTTGATTCAGCTTTATTTTTCTGCCTGTGGATACCAAGTTTTACCAAAACCATATTTTTGTACTACTTTTTTATGTTTTAATTTTAAGAACCATGTATTGGATAGACTGACGTGGCTGGGTTGAAGCTGAGAACCAGGAATCCAATCCAGGTCTCCCACACGGTTGGCAGAAACCCAGTTATGTGAACCATCACTGCCGCCTGCCAGGGTCTGTGTTGGCTGGATGCTGAGTCAGGCACTGGGAGTTGAACCAAGGCACTCTTGACTATTACGTTACACACCTGCTTCACGGGTTTATTTCTGTGTTGGCTATTCTGTTCCATTGAACAAGGTGTACATTTTATGCTAGTAATATTTTTAGTATTATTGCTTTATAGAACATTTTGAAACCAGGTAGTATGATGCTTCCAGCTTTTTTTCTTTTTGGTCAAGATTGTTTTAGCTGTTGGGAGTTTTTTTTCCCATTGCATAGGAATTTTAGAGTTTTTTCTATCTTTGTGAAGAATGCAATGATATTTTGATAGCGTTTTCAATGATTCTGTAAATCACTCTGGGTAATAAGGACATTTAACAATATTAAATCCAACTATTCATAAGCATGTAATATCTTTATATTTATTTGTATCTTTTCTAATATTCTTTATCAGTGTCTTATAATTCTCAGTGTAGTGATATTTCACCTCCTTGGTTAATTTATTTTTAAATATTTTTGGTAGATATTGTGTGTGGGATCATATACTTAGTTTTTTTTAAATATTTTGTTATTAGTATATAACACTACTAATTTCCAAATATGTAAATCGAAATCTAAATAAAATGATGAGACAAGCTTCCCTGAGAAGACTTTGAAGAACTATTGAAGAATATAATGGAACAAACTTTTCAGGTATCTAGAAAATGCTTCAACCTGAGAAAGCTGTCATAAGGCAGGGTGGTGGCAGAGGCTATCCCGAGTGGCTGCAGTAGGCATCTGGAGCCACACAAAGGATCCATGCAGTCCTCGATGTTACACAGATCCCACAGCAATGACAGCAGATCCTACAGCAAGAACAGAGAGCAGGCCAGCACGGCTGGAGAAGAACTGAGGAGGCAGAGGAGGACACATCATGGGAGGTATTGCACACCACTGCATTTCATACTTGTTCAGCATAATGCATTTGAGATTCACCCGTCGCTGCCTGCTTTTTTTTTTCTGTTTAATAAAATGTTTATTCAGGATAGTAACACAAGATAATTCATGCAAGAGCTCACTTAAAAAAAAGAATATATAGAATGGTAATTGATGCTGCCAATTAAAAAAATTATTTTTCCACCCAAAAGTGACATGAGAAACTACTTGAATCTGAGTATGAACATGGTTGTAGTACTCTTCAGGAACTGTAAATTAAAATGACAGGTAACTACCTGTGTCCCAGTCCTCAAAGAAGTAGAGTTCAATACCCAAAATAATCCTCCCATCCCAAACTTGGACCCCCCCCTGCTGCCCACGGAGTTACTCAACACCCGCGGGAGTCTCCCGCTGACTCTCAGCAGGGGAGGAGGGCAGGCACCTTTGGTGACAATTAACTGACACTCTATCTACATTTAGAACCTTATCATTTTTATAATGAAAACCATAGGACCTGCAAGTCATCCTTACCAACCTTAAATGTAGTGTTGCGATGTCCAAGGGAAGATCTCTGTGTTAGGTGGATGGATGTGGCACTATTCGTTAAGCCATTGGTGGACACTTGAGTATTATCCAGGTTTTGGCTTTTGAGAAAATAAGGATTCATTTTTCAGGCATTTTGCATTGACATATATCTTCCATTTTCTTTTGGGATTACCTAAGAGTGAGTATGATTAATGAGCCTGCATGGCTGATTTCATAAGATACTAACATTCTAGCATTCTATTTTCCCAAGTGGTCTATATCTATTTTGCCAACAATATGTGAGGTTTCCAAGATTTTTAAACCCCTGCCAGTATTATGCATGAAATATTCTCCTGATTTCTAGCACTCTACTTTGTCCAACTTCTCTTCCCACTATGAATGCACTTATTCTAAGCTTTCAAATTTTGATGTTCTCTAAAATTCTGCACTTTGTCCTTTTCTCAGTTTACATTATTTGGCCTTTCTGAGTCAGTTGATTCTCTATGGTGACTACCCTTAAGGTCTAATGTCTCCCAAATCTTGATCTTCGTTTTAGACCTCTTCTATAAAGTCACAAAACCAGCTGTGCAGTGGAACATGCATCTGTAATTCACAGATACTCTGAGTACAACATGGACCAGATGTATCTCACCGTGAGCCTCTGCCCAATCCTTTGCCTCTGTTTTTCAGTCTCAGTAGATGGCACCAGTCTCCAGAAACTGCTCATTGCAACCTCCTGGGTAGCTGCTAAGAAACTAGCATTTCCTTCTTTTCCTGTGCTTCTTCCTCTTTTCCTTTGCCTTCATACTGGTGAGATCTCTTCTGTTTTGTGTTCTTAAGCATGTCTCAACCTGCTCTGCTCTTCATCAGGAACATATGTGGATTTATGAGTTCGTGGATTTGCTTCTATTACATCTAAGTAATCCTATGGTCATCTTGTTTGAATTTTATTTCTGGCATTCCCTCAGTCTCCTCATTTTCACAAACTAGTATTGAAGTGTTGTATTTTGGGGGGATGCATAATGTTGTCTTCTTTATTCTTGATTTTTGAATTTCTGAATTTATTTTTAGGCATTTCTGGAAATACTCATTGGTTTGTTGGTTTCTTCCCATCTGATGGCTTTTATCTTTGGACTATGCCTCTGTGACTTAGTGAAGTGTCTGCTGTTTCAGTGAATACCCAGAGGTGTGTGCTGGGTGTAGCCAGGGAGCTCTGTTCAGTGCTCCAGGGTGAGGGGAGTGTCCAAGGTGACATCCACATTGGGCATGGTTAATCTCTTCTTCTTTATCAGAGGGGTGGGTTTGATCAGT